CCATGCCAATCCTCCTCTTTTTGCTGAGGAAGACCGGCTCTGAGCTAACATCTATTGCCAATCTTCCCCCCCGCTTTTTTTTTCCCCTTTTTCTCCACAAAGCCCTAGTAGATAGTTGTATGTCATAGTTGCACATCCTGCTAGTTGCTGTATGTGGGACGCCGCCTCAGCATGGCCGGACACTTGGTGCGTGGGTGCGCGCCTGGGATCTAAACCCGGACCGCCAGTAGCGGAGTGCGTGCACTTAACCACTAAGCCACGGAGCCAGCCCCCGACATCATTTTTATTAAATTTAAATTTGAAAGCTGACGCTGGATTCACTTACTGAAGACTTTCAGATATATTTGGAACAATTTAGATATGTGAATCTACTTTTTCAGTGGTAAATTTTATGGAATCCAAACACAGATTGAGTATTTCTGTTGGAAATCTAGTGCCCAATTGATATGTGCTGTAAGTGCATTGGATTTTGAAGACTTAGCATGGAAAAAAGAAGGTTAATAATTTATTTTAATATTGAAAACATGTTGGAATCAGAATATTTTGGATATATTGGGTTAAGTAAACTATGTTTTAACACTAAGTTCACTTGTTTTTTTTCCTTTTCTCCATGTAGCTACTAGAAAGTTTAAGGTTACGTGTGTGGCTCGATTACGTGTGTGGCTCACGTATACAGGTTTCACTCACTATCGGAAAGTACAGCGTTCCCATGAAACCTAAAAATAAACCTACCAAATCATATCAAATAACACGTAAACCAAAATAACACTAACAGATAGTAAAAGCAGAATGATGTGATAAATACACAGCGTATATAAAGTAGAAATAATGTGTGCAGAGTGTAGTGTCACTCACCAGAATTGGGAAGACAGTGAGCGCACGGGAAGGCTGAGAGGTGGTGGTGGTGGTGATGGTGTTAGGGGAGTTGTGGGAGGCTGGGGTGGTGGGAGGTGCAGGAGACTGGGGTGGAGGAGAGAGAGGAAGAGGGTCATCTGATAACATCTCATCGTCGTCTGAATCCATCAGAGCAGGCAGGTCCCTAATGTCTACACTTTCTGTGTCTGCCTGCCTCGATGTCAAAGGTTGAGGTTCGTTGTCTGCGTTGGCTACTGTGGAAGGCTGTAAATAAGACAGTATGCCTGCCTGCTTAGCTTCTGTAACAGCTCGCTGCAAAACAAACGCTGAACACTATTTTTGCTTTTCACCTTTTTCCATAAAAGCAAAAATCCTTGGATTTCTTTAGTTTAGTGAATGTAGGTCTTTCGTAAAAGTGAAGTGGTGTAATGTGAACTTTTGGATAGCAGGGGAAGCCTGTGTTTCCTTTGGCTGGTGCTGGTGTAAGAAATAATAGTGGTAACGCAGGGCGCTGTGGGGCCTCAGAATTGAGCCAGCCCAGAGGAGGTGACGTTGGAGCTGAGTCTTGGGAAGTGGGTTCGAGTTGGCTGTGGTGAGAAAGGATGGATGAGAAGTGTTGCAACCAAGAACAGCATGTGGAAAGGCCTCGAGGTAGGAACAGCATGGTGTGTTTGGGGAATCCCCTACGCTTCAGTGTTTCTGGAGAGTAAAATACGATTTGGGGAGTAGGGAGAGTTTGAGGATAGTGTACAGTGAGAGATGAGCTAGAGGGGAGCGTGGGAGCGGCCTCGCAAAGGGCCTTGCTCACTAGATAAAGAGCCGAGGTTTTCCCTGGGGAGCTGTGGGAGGGCTGTGTGCTGGAAGGGCTGGCTCATACCTGCAGCAGAGGTGGTCATGATGAAGTAACTGAGTGGCTCAGGGCGTGCTGGCCACTCAGGACTGGCGCTAAGATTGGCCCTGGGGGCGTGTCAGGGAATTCTTCTTAGAGGAAGTGACATCTGAGCCGTGTCCCAAAGGGCCACTAAACAGCATGTGCAAAGAGGTGTAACAGCGTGGTGTGCTGAGAACAACAGCAATTCAGCAATGTTGGAAAATAAAGTGGATTGTGTCGCTTGGGAAGAGTTAGAATTAGAATGTCCAGTACAGAGAGATCAGGTGGCACAGGTGGATATCAAATGACTTTATCCTAGAGTGGGGGCTGGGAAAATGTGGAAGGCTTTTGAGCGGGAGGTTCAGTGCCAGCCACGGCTGATAGGAGATCCCTCTGGGCCATGACAAGGAGCCACTGGGGGCCGGGAGACCAGGGAGAAGGTGATAGATGACGATGAAAATGATTACAGCTGCCTGTTAGTGAATTCCTCGCCATGTGTTAGTATCTCCGTTTGGAGTCTTCTGGAAGCTGGCTCTGAAGTTCTGAAATAAGGGTTCAAGTGCAGGTTGTTTCTTTGGGAGGTGCGGAGAACACCATGCTCAGGGAAGGGGAGGCAGCCAATAACAGGTGAGTTCTCAGGCCGGCTACTGCAGTGGGCAGCTGGAGTCAGATTCTCTGGGGATCGGTGTAAGTGCGTGCCTCAGGATTGTCTACCTGAGGTGCGAGGACCTGGGTGTTTATACATCAGCCCCCATCAGTCACTGGGTGAGGGCTGCTCCCCGGGCCTGTTGGCGCCCTGTCACTTCCAGACTTCTGAGTATCCAGAAAAGCTGTCCGGGACACACGTTCATGGTAAGGTCTTAGGGATGCAGGAGTGGCACCGAGAGCGTCTGCTCGAGTCGGGTATGGGGCCGAGCACGTTTCATCGTAGCTTACTTTTGAGGATTGTTTCCATTCTGCGGATGTGGGAGAGTGAGGCACAGAGAGCTTAAATAACCTTCTCTCGGTCACACAGCCAGGAAGCAGCAGAGCGTGGAGGATGAGGCCCGCCTTGGGGCAGAAGAGGAGGGGGCCCAGGGCCTTCTCAGGGGCCCCATCGTCCGTGGGCCTGAGCTCTCCGGGGTGGGGGCAGACGGGCCAGCCAGTCAGCCACATCGAGACCTTTGCCTTCCCAGCTCGGAAGCAGCTTCCCAAACGGGCAATTCAGGATGCCCTGGAAGAGGAGAGCGAGGACAAGGATAGAGAAGCCAAGAGGAGGAAGGAGGAAGAAGGTGACGCACCAGGAGGAGAGAAGTGGCGGGGGTGGGGGGATCTGGGAGGGTGGGGGCCTGTCTGAGAGGACAGGGTGTTAGGACCCCACTGGTCTGATGCTTGTGTCCATGAATCGGGTCATGTCCATCAGAATCCCACACACCAACACAGGAATTTTTGTTATGAAAGCATTGGGGAATACATTCTTTTAGCATCTTAATTCAGTAATAATTCATACTCATTTTCTCATGTTTGTCTTCTGTTTTTGCATTTATTTTAAGGAATGATTTCTTTTTCCCTATGAATTCCCAAACTTGCACAGCACCCTGTTCCGTGCTGGTTTACGTGCAATACTTGGTTTTGGTCACAGACACCAATGAAAACCCAGCTTTGCAGAAATATAGCATCAGAAATTGCAAGGAATGTGATCTAATACTGAAAACTAAAATACCTTGAGCTAGTAGTTCATACAGTGTCCGACAGATGTCACCGGTTTTCTTTGAAAAATGTAAAATATCCCGCAGGGCCCCTGTGAGTTCCCTGCATCCTGGTGCACACGTGATCTGCCTCATTGATGGCTTGGGGCCTGTATGAGAACATAACACTTGCAGCCTTTGCCACTGTCAGTTTGTTTGTTGCATAAAAAGTCCTCATTAGGCTCAGCTTTCCCAGGGCAGATTTGAATTTGGTCGAGATGTGATTTCCTGTTGGCGATTTTTAGTCAGTAACAAATTTTACTGTAAATCATGCCATTTTAGCCATTGTCGGTGTCTGGGGGCCTGGGGGTGGGTGGCTTCTTTCTACTAAGGCAGATTTTTCCCAATTAGTTTATATAGTTTGAGGTGTGATTTTTTTTCAGTCTGTTTAAAAAATTTTTTATTTTTTATCTATAATGTTATCGTTTGCATTTTGAACCCTTTCCAATTCTATTTTGCGATGAATAATTAAAAAATAATAGTTCATAAGAAGAGACAGGCCGTTTGTATCTGTTTCTCAGCTGCACTGGTGAGCGGTGGGGTTGGGTTCCCTCAGAGGTCCTGCTTGCTCAGGGTTGACCAGAGCAGTTCTCACACCTCCCATCACTTTATGGACGTGCTTGATTGGCACAGGAAAGATCAAATGGGGGCAGAATGTCTTGGGAGTTGAAATGTCCTTGGGAGTCAAAGTGATGTTTTGCCATCTGCCTTTTCTGTCATCAGAAGCAGAGACCCCGCCAGAAAGCCTCACAGAGCCTGACGTGGCCGACAAGAAGGAAACAGAAGAGGAGGACCAGCCCACAACACCCCCTGAGCCCCTAAATGCCCCCAGTGAGTTCCTGATCCTCTTCCTCCCCGTGGCCCCATCTTTCTGGTTTTGGGGTCCGATGTCGTTGGAGGACAGTTAATTTAAATAAGATGTAGATTCTCAAATGAGTTGTTTAAATGCAAATTCTAGGGGAATCCTAGGTTTTTTGATTGTTGTTTTTATTATTATTTTCCTCCATGCATGTGGGGAAAAAAGAAAGAGCCAGTCATCCTCCAACAAAATGTTTATATCTTTCAGAAATCACAGGTACTAGGTGTTATTCATTGAGCAGTAATTTATTAGTTAGACAACCAGGCTGAGTTATGGGCTTTTAGAGGTTCAAGTTACCCTCACAGGCCATAGAACAACCCGTGCAGTCCGGGTATCCATGAGACTCCTGTGTCAGAAACAACACTGTGGGGACATTTTTAGGATGCAGAATCGCATCTGATTTTCTGCAGCTGCAGGAGAATGGGAACATTTTCTTCTAATCATGCTGCTGAAATTTCTTTTTAGCACTATTGGCAAGTCTCCAATTTCAGGCCAAATGCTGGAATTGCATTAGTCAGTACTGACGAAAAAGCATTAGGCTTGAGAGGCTCAAAACCTACAGAAAGGAGAAGGGCAGAATTGGTTATGTTTTCCTTCTGTAGGGTCAGAATGACCTTGGGGTTAAAAATAAAGTTTCAGGGGCGAAACGGTTTGCATCCCCATCTGACGTCTCTTGCTTTAGAAGCAGAGCCCCCGACAGACCGCGTTTCAGAGCCTGAGGGGGCTGTGAAGCAGGAACCACAGGAGGACCAGACTCAGCCTCCCCCCCGAACTCCCAAGACACTCAGTGGCTTCTTCAGTGAGTTTCTCCTCACCCCTCATCCCCCCAGGTTGTGCAGGGAAAGGGGAGTGGGTCTTTCTCAGAAAGTGCTGCAGATCTCTCTGGCCTTCCCACTGCTTAGAAGGTCTGACTCATCTCCCTGGCTTGTCCCCCATCTCCCCGAGCATCGGGGCCCTGCTGGGGGGAGGGTGGGTGGCAGGTGGGGGCTGTCAGAAGGAGAAAAGACCCACAACTTCCCGGCTTCCTTCCCAGGCCCCCGGAAGCCGGCAGTCAAAAGAGATGTGGAGGAAGAAGAGGGATCTGATGCTCCAAGAAAGGAGGAGACCAAGGGGTGAGTCCGTGTTGACTGTTAGGTAGAGAGGAAGGACGGGGGATAAAGAAAGAAGAATGCAGTGAGTCCAGAATCTCTCTGATTTTATTTTAGGCCTCCAAAAGTGAGATAGATAATCACAAAAAATTCTTTCAGCTTTAAAATTCTGTGATTAAGGTTTAATTATTCTAATAAAAATGTTTTGGGGATTCTTAACCTCAATTTCATACCCCAGTTGAGACTTTATTAGTGAGATTAAGTGGCACCGTTTCAGCGTGTGACTGCTGAACAGTCAACTCCTTTTCTTGAACACCTACTATGTGTCAGGTACGGTGCTAAAGGTTCCTTCTATGCTGTTTTACTTCATCTCTGCGGTAGTCTTGTGGAGAAAGCAGGCATTTTAGCCGTTTCACAGACAGGTAGCCCAGAGAGGTTAGGTCGGCTTCTCCGGGTCACACAGGGAGACGGAGGTAGGGCCAAGCCTGGGACCCTGGTTCCCCTCATTCCTAAACCTGGGCTGTTTCTTCACCACTGCCCCATCTGGCCTCCTGGGTACGTGTCTGTGCTTATATATTGATAAATAAGTTTCTCTAACAGAATCCATCCTACTGTCTGTATCTAAAGTTTTATATCCTGCTTTTTATTTTGTGTGATACCATGACCATTTTTCTTATACCATTCCCAGCCTGATCACTTGTCCCTCTGCTGCCTGCCTCCAGCTGACTGTTAACTGTGTTCCAGGCACTAGGCAGTGTCTCTTCCATATCCTAACGCATCGGATCCTCCCAGCACCCTTGTGCGTAGATTTGCTGGTACCCCCATTTCACAGACGAGACAAGTGAGGCATGGAAGCAGGACCGTGTTGTGGCGTGGTTAGAAATCCCTGCTCCAGCTGCGTGACCTTGGGGAAGTGACTCAGCCTTTCTGTGCCCGTTTCCCCCTGAGGGTCTGAAGCATTTAGACTAGGGTCTGGCTGTCCCCAAGCTCAGCAAGTTGCAGCAGCTGTTATTATTATTATTATTATTATTTGATTTTAGTGCTTTGCTGAGGTCGCAGATGGGGAGTGCGGCAGCGTTGGGATTTGACCCAGGCAGTCTGGCCGTGGAATTTCTTACCCATCGTGCTCTGCTTCCTCTTTTAGTAATGATAGAAGCAACCTTGTTGAGCTGCGTGTTAAAACACTGAGTCCACACAACTCACTGTGCACAGCCCTGCACTCACTCTGCCCCGCTCAGCCGTCCGCAGCCCTGTCTGTGCATCAGAATCAGCTGAAGAGCTGAATACAACTCCTACGTCCTCTCCTCCACCTTTTTGTCCCCCCCAGTTTGGTATAGATACAGGCCTGAGGCTGCGGAGTCAGTGTTGTTTTAAAAATGCTCCCCACAAAATGCACCAAGGACTGGGGACCCTCACCGTAATTTCTTACTTAACCCTCACAACAGCGTGTCACTGTCGGACTCCTGGTGGCTCCACTGTACAGATGGAGACAGCGTTCAGAGAGGGGAGCCCGCATCCTCAGGGTGACACAGCTGGCGGGTGATGGAGCAGGGATTTGAACCCAGATGAGTCCGACTGCAGAGTCTGGGCCGTGGTGGCTCTAACAGGGTCGGGGGAGGCATTTCTAGAGGCATTTATGATGGAGAGGTTTAGAACACAGTCTCTGGAGTGCTGCTTACTCACTGTGTGACTGTGGGTGAGCTTCTTAGCCACTCTGTGCCCCAGTTTCCTTATCTGGAAAACAGGGTTAGAAGACCTGTAGGTCTTATTGCTAACTGATGTAGTGCTCTTAGCACAGTGCCTGGCACTTGGTGGCACCCAGTGATTGTACCCTTCCCCTGCTGTTCCACCCAGAATGAAGGAGGGAGGGAGACTGAGAGGCCCAGAGGGGTCCTTGGCTGTTACAGCGGGCTCTAAAAAACATTCAGATCATGCTACTTCACTCCAGCTGCACTGACCCCTTTTCTGCTCTTCAAACGTGTCAAGTGTGTCTCTGCCTCAGGGCCTTTGCGCTTGCTGTTCCCCCTGCCCAGAGTGGAATGCTCTTCACCCCAATACCCACTCTTTTTCCCTCTTTCCCTGCTTTTTCCCTGTACTTGGTTTCATTTTGTTTTCCAAAATATTTTTTAATATCTAAAATTATTTATTTGTTTATGTGTTTTGTTTTTTCCCTGATTCTCACACTAGAATGTGAGCTCCAGGTTAGCCGACTTTGTTTTCATTCACTTCTGTGGCCCTGGGCCTAGAACAGTGCCTGGCACACAGTAGGTGCTCAGTAAGTTGGAGGAATGACTTCTCTTTGACCCAGGCGTCTACCTGATTTAATCTCCCTTCACCTCCACAGACCCCTGGACCCTCCCAGCTACAATCCCACCAAGAACAACTACCACCCTGTTGAAGATGCCTGCTGGAAGCCAGGCCAGAAGTGAGGCTTCTCCTTCCCCGGACTGTCTCCCTCCAGTCCCTCTCCCTGTGGGAGGCCCTCTTACCGGAGGCCTCAGTTGGAGGACACTGTTGCTTCTCTCCCTCCGTGTTTTGGGGACACAGTCGGTGGCAGCATTGAAGGGGATGGAGAGAAAACCCCTGGCAGGGAGTAGGGTTGCACGCGTGCATTTGGGTCTCAGCAAGGCTGACCCCAGGGAGGTGGATGGAGGGACGGCATGGGTTGTACATTCTGCTCTTGTCTGTCCTCGTTCCCCCAGGGTCCCCTACCTGGCTGTGGCCCGGACATTTGAGAAGATTGAGGAGGTGTCTGCTCGGTAATTGGTGAGGCCGGCCTGGGCGGTGGGGGGCAGGCGGGGTGGGTGCTGTTCCTGCTCTGTGCCTTGCCTGGCAGTCGCTGTGCCTCGGGCTGCCTGATCCTTTCAGCCTCTCCTCTTTCAACCTCACCCTCACGCATGTGAGCACGGACCGTGGGCACGGCCACGAGAGTGGCCGCAGGTTCTCTCCAGGCCTGGAAGGCCCACACCATCATTTCTGCCTCGTTCTGTTGGTCAAAGCGAGACACGAGGGTGACACCTGATGGCAGGAACTTAACCTACCCTAAGTAATTGGAAGTAACCGCAGCCTGGATGACGTTTCTCAGTGTCAGTGAAAGGAAATCTGGGTCTTGGTTACAGCGAGAATCCCTCCCGTCTCGTCTCAGCACTTTCCCCTCAGAGCCCTGCACTCCTGGACGCACGGGACTGGCCCCCGGTGCACAGGGCTGCCCGGACCCGGTCCTCGCCCCACCACCCCTTCCCCACTCCTGTTCTCGCCCTCCCCACCCCAGCTCTCACCCCTGGGGCTTGAGTTTATGTCATCGTTATTGAGGGGCCCACCTCATTCTGCCGCCTTCTTCTACTGTCAGCATTGTTTCCAGATCTCTCCACATTGGTTTAAGTAGATCTTAGCTCATTTCAACTGGTCCATAGTAGTCCTTCATTTTTACGTATGTCATTTTTCAGTTCCCCAACATTAGTGGAGCATTTAGGCTCTTCCCAATGTTTTTCTTATAAATGCTTGTCTTTGTGAACATGGGAGGAATCTCCTCTGGGGCGCAAACCCCACAATGGAATCGCAGGTCACAGAGGGCACAGGAAGGGCCTTGAATGCCAGGCTGAGGGGCTTGGAGGCCAGCCTGTGGGCAGCTGCAGAGTGAGGGCCGGATTATCTTAAAGCCCTGCCCCGGGGACAGACGTCTAGCGTGGAGGAGGACCACGTCTCGCCATTACCCCTTCACTGCCTTTTGGCTTGGTGAGGCAACCGGAGCGTCCGTTGCTGCGATCCTAGGCGCCCTGCCCCGGGGACAGACAGGTCTGGGAGTGGGCCCAGCTCTGCTGCTTCCTGGCTGCGTGACTGGACGGTGGCCTGACCCCTCTGAACTTCCGTCGCTGATGAGTGCAGTGAGGATCATACATCTCATGTTTGCTGTGAGAACAGTGAGATGAAAACGTAGTACAGCTGGATGCTTAGTTTCAGGAGAAACTGTTCCCTTGAACGCTTAATTCAAGAGAACTGCAGGTGACTATCCAAACCCTATAATCTAACAATTGGGAGAGTTTTACAATTTTTAAAAGTTTTTTGGAAATAATTTTAGACTTAGGGAAAAATTGCAGAAATAGTACAGAGAGTTCTCATATACCCTTGACTAGCTTCCCCTAATGTTAACATCTTACACCAGCACAGGAAAGTTAACCAAAACCCGGACATTGACGTGAGCGCATACTCTTAAGTAATCTGCAGACTTCATTTGCATTTTGCCAGTTTTCCCACTTGTGTCCTTTCCTCGAGGCCAAGATCCATCTAGGATGGATCCTGGGTGCCCCCACCCAGGGCACCTAGTCGTCCTGTCTCCTTCATCTCCTTCCTCCCGGACACTTCCTCAGTCTCTCTTTGTCCTTCCTTCACCTCCAGACTGTTGAAGATTCCAGTGATTTTGTAGAACATCTCTCAGTTTGGGTTTGTCTGATGCTCCCTCAGGAATTGATTCAGGTGCTGCGTCTTCCCTCAGGAAGGGCGCAGAGGTGATGCTTTCTCACCGCATCCCGCGGGGGGCACATTCTGCCTCCCTCTGACTCCTGGTTGTATGGCTGCGGGGCCGTCGACCAGGCGTCTCCCCTGCACGGTTGCTGCTTTTCTCTTTGCGATTAATAGGCATCTTGTGGGGCTTCTCTTTGAGTCTCTGCAAGGCTCCTGTTTCTCCTCAGACTTTCGCCCGCTCATTTTAGCATCTGTGTTAGTGTCCTAGGGCTGCCCAAACAAATAACTACAAACTTGGTGGCTGAAAACAACAGAAATGTTTTCTTGCACGTTTCAGGAGGCCAGAAGTCCAAAATCAAGGTGTGGGCAGGATTGGTTCCTTCTGGAGGCTCTGAGGGAAAGTCTGACCCATGCCTCTCTCCTGGCTTCTGTTGGGTGCCAGCATTCCTGGGCACTTGGCTTGTGGACACGTCGCTCCAGTCTCTGCCTCCATATTCCCATCGCCTTCTTCTCTGTGTCTCTCTGTGTGTCTTTTTCTGTACAGTCATGCTTCACATAATGACATTTCGGTCAACAACAGACTGCATGTAGGACGGTGGTCCCATAAGATTAGTACCACATAGCCGAGGTGTGTAGAAGGCTATATATACTGTCTATGTTTGCGCAGGTACACTCTGACGTTTGCACAACAGAGTTGCCTCACAATGCATTTCTCAGAGCATATCGCCGTCATTAGTCCAGGCATGGCTGTATTTTATAAGGACATGCTTATTGTATTTAGGACCCACTCTAATCTGGGATGATCCCATCTTGGTTGTTACCTTAATTACACCTGCTAAGACCCTATTTCCAAGTAAGGCCACCTTCTCAGGCTCCAGGTGGACTTGAACTTTGGGGAGATGCTGTTCCACCCACTATAGCGTCCAGTGGTGGGTGCTGCCTGTGACAGTTCCGCCTGTGTGTCTGCCCACTGGTGGTTTTGTATTTCTTTCATTCCTTCTCCTTTTGTTAATTGGGCTGCTTCTGTAAGAAAGACCGCTTCTCTTTTCAGTTCGGCCCTCTGAATCTGAGTTTGCCAACAGCAAACCAGATGTTTTCACAGTTTTCTCTGACATAGACAGAAACATTATTTTATTTTTAGAGGCAGCACAGCTTAGTGGCTGGGAGCCCGGATCCTTGAGCAGACGGCCTTGGTTCATATCTCAGCTCGATACTTACAGCTCTGTGACCTTGGGCAAGTTACATAATCTTTCTGTGCCTGAGTTTCTTCATCAGTAAAATGGGAATAGTGTTAGTATCGAGCTCATAGGGGAGCTATGAGAATTCAGTGAGTTAAAACACGCAGAGTGCTTAAAATCAGCACCTAGCACCCAGAAAATGCTTCGTATGCTGTTACTTCTCTGTGGCGGATCGTCTCCACCCTCTTCCATCATTACTGTCCAACCTAGTTAGTCTCCCACCAGCAGTCTGTGATTGTGCCTGTGGCTCAGGTCACACACCTGGAACTGAGCTCTTCTCTCTCCTGCTTCCCTGGTTCCTTTGATCCCCACCCCCAGCTTTGACCCTGAAGTACCAGGTGGTCACTCCCCTGTCCCCTCCTCCAGGCTCCGGATGGTGGAGACGCTGAGCAACTTGCTGCGCTCCGTGGTGGCCCTGTCACCCCCAGACCTCCTCCCCATCCTTTACCTCAGCCTCAACCGCCTTGGGCCGCCCCAGCAGGGCCTCGAGCTTGGCATCGGTGACGGCATCCTTCTCAAGGCAGTGGCCCAGGCCACAGGTAGGAAGGGGCCATCGTGGGAGTTCCAATGAGAGGGGAGCTTAGAGGGAGCAAGTGGAGAGGTCGGGAGGATCTGAGAGATGGTGGAGAGGGACTCGGAAGGAGAGTGGGGGAGAGAGGCCGACGAGGGAAGAGGGCCTGGTGGGGCAGATTGGCGGGGCGGTTCAGGTGAGGGAGGACCGGGCCTGGGTTGAGACTGGCCCTGGATGGAGAGGAGGGACTGGGGAAAGATGCCGCAGGCAGAGAGCGGGGTTTGGGGGCTGCGTTTAGGGGTCGGGCATAGCAGAGGTCCTACAGGACTTTGACCAGTAGAGCCGGGAGGGGCTGAGGGGGGATGAGGAAAGAACAGGATGGGGGCAGGGCCAGCGGCCTACAGGGCCTAAGTCCCAGTGCTTACAGAGAGCTGGTGATGTGGGCGGGGTCTGCCGAGGGCCTTGAATACTCAGTGTTTATTGTGAGGGTGTTGGGGAGCCATGGAAGGATCGTGAGCAGCGGAGGAGCAGGTCAGTTCTGGACCCGTGTGGAAGACAGACAGGAAGCCAGGAGTCCAGGAAGGAAGCTGGGGCAAAGGTCAGGGGGAAGAGGAGCTGGGGCCAGGGCTGTAGGGAGCAGAGGAGAGGGCAGGAGGGATCTGCCGGCTCTGGGGGTCGGGGGACAGAGGAGGTGCAAAGAATGCCCCGAGATCTCATTTGGTGACTCGGGGGATGATGGAACCACCACCAGGACAGGACACTGGTGAGGGGCGGGCACATTCAGGGGAAGTTAATAATTTCAGCTTGGGACCAGGTGTGAGCAACCTGTATCTGGGGGCCATCCACGAAGTTGGGAAGTACGTGGGTCTGAAGCTCGGTGGATCGGATCAGAGACCAAGATCTGGGAGCCCTCAGCTCAGGAGGGATGATCAGTGCGCTGGCGAGCTCTCGTTTGCCCAGAGAGAGGGTGGTCAGGGAGGGTGGGGGGTGCTAAGAGTCGAACTGTGGGGAACACCAGCATTTAAGGATGCAGGGTTTTGAGGGTTTTGTGAATGGACAGAGTGACTGAGAAAGATTGACTGGGAGATAGAAGAGTTGTGGGGCCATCGGAGCCAGAGAAGATGGGACTCAGAATCTCCCGCTCCCTCACTCGATACACTCATTAGGCTCTGACATCGTACCAGACCCACTGCAAACTGTGTCCATTAGGAATACTTGCCGCTGCAAGTAACAAAACCCCACTACACTGGCTTGAACAGGGAAGGGTTTCTTTTTCTCACATACTAAGAGGCTGAGAGTAGGCGGCTGCTGATGCTGGTTTCCCTGCCCAACAAGAGGCTGACGCTGAGGCCATTTCTGCCCTTTGCGCTGATGGTCAACGGTGCCCACAGGACCATGAGTAAGGCCAGGTCACATCCAACGTGTTTAAATTGGTGACTTGAAAAAGACTAACAAAAAAACAAGCAAAGGCCTATTGGTCACTGCAGGAGGGTGTTAGTGACCGGCTAGGGGTCAGGCAGGGGTCTCTTGGCTAGCTTCTCTGTCTACACTGGTTCCCCTGGTGATCTCATCCCACACCATGGCTTTAAATCCTGTCTACACACTGACAGCACCACCGCCAACATCTCACCTAGTGTAGACGTGTTCATCTCGCTGCTTACTTACTCCATGTGAATGTCTGGTAGGCCTCTCACACCTCTCGTGAGGGGAGGCAGGTATTTAACGAGCCATTTCAGCCAGTGGGTGAGCACCAGGAAAGGACAAGGCAGGGGCTCGCCTGGAGCACACGTAGCTGGAGAAAACGCATCCAGGCCAGGTGGGAGCCATGCAGCCACACTCCTCCTCACCCTCACCACCCCGCTCTCTCCACCCCCACAAGGTCGGCAGCTCGAGTCCGTCCGGGCTGAGGCCGCCGAGAAGGGCGACGTAGGGCTGGTGGCTGAGAACAGCCGCAGCACACAGAGGCTCATGCTGCCCCCGCCCGCTCTCACTGCCTCTGGGGTCTTCACCAAGTTCCGGGACATCGCCCGGCTCACCGGGAGTGCCGTGAGTGGGGCAAGGGGCTCACCCCAGGGGCCCAGACCAGCTGCTCCACGTCTGGGGGCCCAAAGCCACACAGAGCGAGAAGGCTTCTGGTTAGACTGTTTGGGGCTGATCATTTCAGTCCTGCTTGTGGTTCCAGAGCTTCCTTTCTTTCTTCCTACTCTCAAAGGGGGGGTGGGGGGGGTTCCAAGGGTGGCAGCTCCTGGGTGGCTGGGGTGGCCGGGAGGAGGTGCGGCCCCTCCCTTCACCCCCAGGCACCGACTGCTCTCCCCCTGCTCTTCAGTCCACAGCCAAAAAGATGGACATCATCAAAGGCCTCTTTGTGGCCTGCCGCCACTCAGAAGCCCGATTCATCGCCAGGTGAGGGTGGGCCCGTGAGGGTGGGGAGAGGGGAAAGTAGGGAGGGCCTGGCAGCTGGAATCAGTCCTGGTCCCCTGACCACCCTCAGATGAGGACAGCATTGGCAAGGGGCCCTCGCCCCGAGGGGGTGGGAAGGGAGCACAGGTTTCCTTTCGTGGGCCAGCTCCTCTCCTTGGCAGCGCTGCCTGGAGGAGGGTCCTGGGGTAGTGAGTGCCGTGATTGGTGAGTGATGTCTGCCCTGGCCTGAGCCTGGTGGTGCAGCTCACGAGCCAGGTGGTTGCCATGACAGTGAAAGCAAAATCATTGACAGCCCACATCATGGAGCATTTCTTGGGTACCCTGCCCCCTGCCCCGTGCTTTATCCCATCAGTTCCGCCCTGCAGCTCTGCGAGGTAGGCCCTGTCAGCCTCACCCCGGTTTACGGAATGGGAGATGGAAGCATAGGAAGGTTAAGCCTCGTGCCTGTGGTCGCTGGCTCAAAGCAAGGCCAGTGCGAGGGGCGGGTTCTTGATCATTACACCACTGGGGCAGCTGCATTCAGGTTCCAGCTCTGGCTCTGCCCCGGCCTTGCCCTCCACGGCTCGCTGTCTTCTCAGAGGGTAGCTGGGATGAGAGGTGAAGACACCTGTGAGGCATCTAGATCTGCTGCCAGGAAATGCCTACAGTTGTGATTGTTATTGGCTGGCCTCAGTTTTCTCATCTGTTTAGTGGGTGTGTGTGATCTCTTGGATCCCTTCCGACTCTGGAGGTTGTTCTGGTTTTGAGGAGAGGGTCTGTGGAGGTTGGGGGTGGGGGAGACTGGAGGAGGCAGGAGCAAGGTATAGAGGACAAGATAGGGCAGGTGCAGACAAGCCCACTCCGCCTCACCTGCTCTCTCTCCAGAGCCCTGAGTGGACGGCTGCGCCTCGGGCTGGCAGAGCAGTCGGTGCTGGCCGCCCTCGCCCAGGCTGTGAGCCTCACACCCCCGGGCCAAGGTGAGCCCCCACGGCCGGTCCCCGTGCTGCCCTTCTCCTTTTCAGAAGTCCAGGCCCACCCCTCCCCCACGTGGTTCCTGCCTCTGCTGTCACTCCAGGCTGCTCTCCCCTGAGGAAAGTGTTCCCAGCAGCGGAGTTCACAACACACCACCCGCTGTGGACCCTGGGCTCGCTGAGGGGAGTTGGGCCCGTCCCAAAGCCTCTTCTGGTGGGTCTTGTCCTAGAACTCCCCCCGGTCGTGGTGGATGCTGGGAAGAGCAAGACAGCAGAGGCCAGAAAAACGTGGCTGGAGCAGCAAGGCATGATCCTGAAGCAGACGTTCTGGTGAGACCCAGGGGCCCTGGGCAGAGCGAGAGGGGCGGGGGGGCCCAGGGGCGCAGATGATGTGGGTGGGGCAGGGGGTGGGCCCTGAGGGGTCATGGGTGGTGTGGGAGGGGCCCGCGGCTGACAAGCATGCCTGACTGTCATGGGGCCAGTGACAGGGCACAGGGTGGTGGTCTAGACAAGATCGGTGCTGAGCACGAGGATGGGGACAGAGATTGGGGAGGGGGCAAACAGTGAAGAGTCAGTGACGCAGGGACGGGGAGAGGCAAGGAGACACTGACAGCAGGTGAGAGCAGCAGGCATGGAGAGGTTCCTAAGTTCCAGATAGGAGTGCACGTGTGGAAAGGCCTTAGGAGACCCGGAGAGGGGCTGGTGGCTGACGCACTGTGAGGGGGTGTGAAGTCGTGGAGAGAGCATCCATGGAGTGACGGTGAGGGCTCCAGAGAGCCACGTGGAGGGACCTGGCCAGCGACCAGCCCAGGGCTGGCCGCAGCAGGACGCTGACGGCCCAGAGAGAGCATCAGCGGCAGGAGGGCCTGTGAGCAATTCCACAGATGCCCACAGAGCACCTGCTCTGGGCTGCGGCCGCCCTGGGTGCTGGGCGCACGGCAGTGAGGAGGTCCCTCAGAGCCCCTTGGTCAGGGCAGCAGCCTCAGCGGCCCCCTCTCTGCCTGCGAGACGGGATCTATAAACTATCGCTCTCAGGCCCGCCCCAGACCAGTAACATCAGAATCTTTGGAGGTGGGGCCTGGCCTTGAAGAAAGACTTCTTTAACACGTCCTTGTGCAGGTCTAACGTGTGGCCCAGGTGGAGAATCGCTGGTCTCATGATGGCAGGTGGGGGGTGATGGCAGGCCCAGACCAAGGGAGACAGTCAGAGTGATATATAGTGACGCTGAGGGAGGATCGTGGCGGAGACAGCTGGAGACAGGGTGACAAGAGGAGGCAGGGATGGGCAGGAGCAGAGCGGGGGACGAGGTGACAGACAGGCAGAGGCGGATCTTGCGGCAGAGAGCAGAGTCCTGGAAGGACACCTCCCACCTTGCTCTTGCCCCCTCCCCGCCCCAGCGAGGTGCCCGACCTGGACCGGATCGTCCCCGTGCTGCTGGAGCATGGCCTGGAACGACTCCCGGAGCACTGCAAGCTGAGCCCAGGTACAGGCCCCCCGTGGGCCCCTCGAGAGTGACCACAGCCTCCCCCTGGCAGGCTGGCTCCTGGGCCATGGGGGCCAAGGGCTGGCCCTCCTCCAGGCTCCACTCTCTCCTCCAGGGCAGCTGTGAGGGTGCCCACTACTAGGCGAGCACCCCTCTAAGAACCCGCAGAATCCTCTCCACCAAAACTGAGTCCTGTTCCCTGTGCTAAAAGCCATTCCTCTTCCCCTTGGAGTTCCCTTCTGTATTAGACAGGATGTAGGGGAAGCTGCTGTAACAAAGATACCCCCAAAGGCAGTGGGTCAGGCCAGACAGAATCTCTGTCTCTCTCGCACGTAAGAGTGCAGAGGAAGGCAGGCAGTTAGGGAGGATGCACAGCCACACTCCAGGGATCCCCAGGGACCCAAGTGCCTTCTGTCTCATCACTTTGTCATCCTGAGGTTGTCACCCCAATGAGCATGATCAGAGGTGGCTCACGTCTCTGTCCTACGTTGTGAGAAGAGGGAAAGAGAGACGAGGCGGCCCGCTTCCTAGTGATGATGAGACCCAGACACTGCGCACGTCACTTCTGTGGGCAGTTAGAAGTCTGCACAGTTAGCCGTCCCCCCCACACTCCCTCTTGAATTGATTGCCTCCCCTCTGCCCCCAGTCCACCTAACTCACTCTCCTCTCCTCCCCCCAGGAGTCCCCCTGAAACCAATGTTGGCCCACCCCACCCGCGGCGTCAGCGAGGTCCTGAAACGCTTTGAGGAGGCAGCTTTCACCTGCGAGTACAAATATGACGGGCAGAGGGCACAGGTACGGGGGGTGGACACATCCCTTCAGCAGAAAGGAACGTGCCAGAGAGCAGGGGTGTGGGGTCGGTCAGACGGACCTTTTGCCACAGACTGTCCGTATGACCTTGCACATCTCTTGGGGTTTTAGTCCCCGCCTCTGTGCAAGGAGTGCTGTAATAACCACCTCACTGGCTTATCTGAAGATCGATCTTATTTGATAAAATCATCCAAATTCCCGACCCACAGCAGCAGGAGCTCAAGAAATGTCGGCCCTGCTGCTGCCCTGCTGGTGGGTGTGTTAGTTGCAACAGGCGCCTGTGTGACCCTCGGTGCAGTTAGGTGAGCACCTGTCCCGTGACCCAGGGCTGTAGACGCCTCGGGCGGGTCTGTGACGATGCTAGTCGTGGTTCTTCTGTCCTGGCGGGGAGGTGGGGCTGTCTCCGTGTTCATTGCCCACGGATGGATAAGCGAGTGCGATGGGGGCCACCATATGGTGCTTTGAGGCAGTGACAAGCAGTGGATTCAATGGACACTTAGCGTCGTAGGTGGACTTTGAATATATGGTGCTGAGAAAACAATGATAGATAAAATGATTTACAATAGCGACAGTGACTTAAATATATATATATATTTTAAGTCGTGTATGTTGTATCATAGACACACAACTTTCTTGAGATAACGTAGTGTAAGATGGCATATATGTAGCTCTACTCAAGGGCTCTGACCAAACTGTATTAAAATACATAAATTAGCAATGAAAACCAGAATGATAGTTACCACAAGAGAACACCCAGACAAATCAACATGTACACACATAGCAAGACACTTGTGTTTACAGGGCGAGAGGAGTGGGAACTGGGATGATGAATAAGAAGATGGCGAGAGCCTCCACAGACTAGGGTGGGAGGTGCTGTTGGAACCAAGGACATGATTCACTCAAGTCCCCACGCCGGTTCCTCCTCCAGATCTTCTGGAACCTTCTGCCAGTGAAAGTGGGGTCAGAAGAGAAAGGAGGGGCCGCCTGGGGTGGACTGAGCTCTGATTTCTCTCCCCTCCCGCTGTGGCAGATCCATGTTCTAGAAGGCGGGGAGGTGAAGATCTTCAGCAGGAATCAGGAGGACAATACCGGAAAGTACCCCGACGTTATCAGCCGCATCCCCAAGGTGGGCATCTGCCACCCTTCACTCTGCGGGGGCGGCAGTGACGGGTGCAGAGAACCGAGGCCCGTCCAGGCCGGCTCGCTGCAGGGGGTTTATGGGAAGGAGATCGGAATGAGTTTGGCTGCAAGTAGCAGAACACTTGGCTCACAGCGCCTTGAACCGATGTTGTTTTTTCTCAAAGGAACCTGGAAGCAGGCGCCCCAAGGCTGGCTCAGCTGTGCACTCATGCCCTGACCCGGCTCATTTCTGTCTCTGTCTCTGCAGTCCTTGGCTGGGTGGCTTTTCATCCCAATGCTTGTCACTGATAGTCCTCCGTAGCTGCCACACTTCTGGGTAGAAAGACAGGTGGGAAAGGGTTCCAGCTTCTGTCCCCTCCCATGAGGACAGTTAGCGCTTTCTCAGATATCTCCCAGCATCCCCAGCCGACTGCAGTTTGGGGTCACCGTTCAGCGCTGGGCGCCACGGCCACCCTAGTGCAGCAGAGGCCGGGAAAGCCAGCGTCTCACTCTCCAGCGGGGAGGAGGGGGTGGGACGAGGGTGGAGGGAGCCAGCCTGCAGATCGGCCCCACAGCTGAAATAGGGCTGGGCCTCCAGCGCCCTGGAGCCGGGGGCGTCTCTGCTTCTGCCGTAGGGAGAAGAGCCCTTCCCCTGCCTGCCCTGATTCATTAGGAAATTGGCTGTCCCCTAGATCAGCGAGCACAGAAGTGACAGGACAGTGCGGGCATTAGTGGAGCTCCTGTTAGGTGCCGCGCACTGTTTTTCTTTAATTAATTTAGTGGAGATGTAATTTCCGTAAAAGGTGCTGATTTTAAGTGTCGAGTGTGCAGTTTGATGAGTTTTGACAGGTTAATGCGCCCATGTAATCAGAGTATAAAAGATTTCCGTATTCTCATCGCTCTAAAATATTTCCTCGGGCCGCTTGCCAAGCAAGTCCCCCTCCGTGGCACCCCCCATCCATCTCCCAGAGACAGCAGCCAATGACCTGCTCTTCTGTAGCCACGGGTTCGTTTGCCTGTTCTAGATCTTCACGTAAGTGCTGTCATACAATACAGAGTCTTTTGCATCTGGCTTCTTTCGCTCATTCATTCAACAAGTATTTATCGCACGTCTGCTCTGTGCTAAGCCCTGTGCCGGAGGCTGGGGTTGTAACACAGCAGGGCAGGCAGATCTTCATCAGAGAGTCCCGCCACTGCCTCTGTAATTGTACATGGAGATCAGGGCTCCGAAGAAAAGGACCAATGTTCTATGAGCCTTTGTAACAGTCAGACTTGACGTGGACTTGGTGCCAGGGAAGCAGGGCCGTCACCGTGCACAGCCCCAGGATACAGTATGAGTGGTGCCCCCTGGAGTTGTGCAGCAGCGTTCCTTTGAGGGAGGAGAAGTCTTTCTAGTGGAGGCGAACGACAGGGACAGGCACTCCAGCGTGAAGAGCATGTGCAAAGGCCCAGTGGTTGGACGAGCATAGCCCATTCAAGAAACAGGCTAGTGTGTTGGGGTGCAGAGAGCAAATCTGAGGGGGCCAGTTGAGGCGAGCGAAGGCCAAGGGTTGCCCAGGGAGAGCCCCACAGCCTTGGGGGCTTTGGGATGGTTTCTAGCAGGAATGTACCGGATCAGGTTTGGGGTTTGCAGAGAGCACGCTGACTGCTGTGAGGAGAGTGTGTTAGACGGGGTCCGTGCAGGAGGGCGACCAGTAGGATGATGTGGCTTAGGCTGGACTGGGCTCAGTGAGGTGGTGGCAAGTGGACGGCTTAGAGAGATTCCGGATGGGAAATCAACAAGTTCACTGGGGAATTGAGTGTGAACTGGGAGGAAGAGGAAGATGACAAAGGCCTCTGGGTTTCCAGCTTGTGGGACCAAATAGTGAGTCCTCAGAAAAGTTAGTTTTTACTTTCTGTCAGTGGGGAATAAGAGAAGAGGATCCGTGTTCATGTGTGTCTTTGAGGTTGGCATCAGTCCGTCAGTGGATCTTGAGAGCTGCAGAAGGAAAAGGAAATTTGTCTCCCTGTGTCTGTCTTTTGGCCTCATCCTCCACCTCTCACCAGCCCTGGGTCTCCCCCTTTACCTTTCAGATTAAACTCCCGTCAGTCACATCCTGCATCCTGGACACTGAAGCCGTGGCTTGGGACCGGGAAAAGAAGCAGATCCAGCCCTTCCAAGTGCTCACCACCCGCAAACGCAAGGTAGCCAGCCTTAGCCCTCTTCCACCACTTACCATGGTCCCACACTCATTCATCGTCCTCCCAGTCCTGCCCAACCCTCAGAAGGACAGAGTGTCTGTGGGGATGCTGTTCTCTCAGCCTTTTGCAATGTGGCTGCCACAGCTCCATCCATTGCGTTCTCATCCCAGCATGCCAAGTAGGAAGAGGGGGAGAACCCTCTTCCTATGTCTCTATGTTTTATTATGAAAGATCTATTCCAGGTGCCCCCACAACCTGCACCCCAGCAAACTTCTGTACTCTCATCTGCCAGATTTGTGTCATGTCACCACCATTAGCTGCAAGGGAAGTTGGGAGAGCAAATCTCTGGCAGAGGGGAGTGAGGTTGTTGGCATTAGCTGAGAGCCACCACAGTTCAGTGCCCGGGGCCAGCAGCATTGCCGCCCTCACAGGTGTGCGACCTGTTAGCTAGGGCCAAGGGGAGAAGGGTAGGTGACAACAATCATGCCTCAGGCATGATGGGAGGGGACCCAGCTGGGCCCCGTCTCACCTTCCCCGACTCCTGAGTCTCCCTTCTGCCCCAACCAGGAGGTGGATGCAGCGGAGATCCAGGTGCAGGTGTGTTTGTACGCCTTCGACCTCATCTACCTCAACGGAGAGGTGAGTTCCGGCCTCATGTCTGGGGAGCCGAGGGATCATGGGGGTGGTGTGTGAGCCTGGGAGCCAGGGGTCTGAGGGTCATTGCTGACTGCCAGTCACTGAGCTGGGAGGCCACACATGGGCAGCAGTTCTCCAAGTGTGATCCAAGGACCCCTGTGGGTCCCTAAGACTATTTCAGGGGGTCTCTGAGGCCCTTTCTTTTCCATCTCCACGTCTGTGTGAGGCGAGTTTTCTCCATGCACTGCAGCCAGAGCAACATCTTGCAGCGTTTGAATGCAGAAGCAGACACGAGAATCCCGCCCCTGTTAAGCCAGACATTAAAGAGTTTGAAAAATATAAAATAATGCCCTTCTTCTCACTAGTTTTTTTTTAAAGATAGGCATATTTCATACAAATACGTTGTTGGAGGGGCCGGCCCGGTGGCATAGTGGTTAAGTTCGAGCACTCTGCTTCGGCGGCCCGGGGTTCACAGGTTCGGATCCCGGGCGCGCACCAACGCACTGCTTGTCAAGCCATGCTGTGGCGGCGTCCCATATAAGGTAGAGGAAGATGGGCACAGATGTTAGCTCAGGGCTGGTCTTCCTCAGCAAAAAAGAGGCGGATTGGCGACAGATGTTCGCTCAGGGCTGATCTTCCTCACAAAAAAAAAAAAATGTTGTTGTGTTAACATACTGGATTTATTATTTTTAAGTGAATTAATGAATGTTTTTAAGCTTTCTCACTTTTGATCTGGTCACTATTAATAAGTGATACAGTAGTTAATACTACACCACTAATGTGGTAAACATCGAGAGATGTAACCCACATACAGAGAAGCTCTTAGGAGTGAGTCCTCAGTCAATTTCAAGAGTGGGAAAGGGTGCTGAGACTGAGCAGTTTGAGCCCCGCTGCTCCAGGGACCGGGTTCAGAATCTGGAGGCACGCCGCCTGTTTTCACGTCCCAGCTCTCCCTTGCTAGCTGTGTGGCTGCTGACGAGTGACTCCACCTCTCTGAGTCTCAGTTTCCTTGTCTGTATTAAAGAGCCAACAGCAGCACCTGCTCCGTCTCCTGGGCAGATGAGGTGGATCATGGTGGGCATGGAGCACGGTCGCCGGCACATAGGAGCACTCGATAAAATTAGCCGCCATCGTCGTCATCCTAGATGATGAATTTGTGATGATCTGGTAGCTGAGCGGCGACCACTTGCACGTCACACTCTCTAATGGAGCAGTGTCTTTTCAGACTTGTGGGCCACGTGTGTTGTTCAGTGACCTGCCCTCTTGTGACTTGTACTTGTGACTTGTCCGGTGGGTTCTTATTAGTGTCTTTCTGGTCTGGAAAGTTCCTCCTCCAGGAGGCTGGTTAGTCCTTTGCCAGGACAGATGAAGCCGGTTGTGGTCCTTGTGCCAAAACTCGTCCAGCGCCCGAACCACCCACTTTATGACGCAAATGATAAGTCGAGTTTGACCTCGTAAATTAACTGCAGGGAGAGAAGTAGAATTCTGACTTTGTTCCGCACAATTGTGGGGAGGAAATGTCAAATATCAGCTGCTTTGTGGTTTTTCTTCATGTTTTGGTTGTCTGCTCTGCTGGTTCCTTTGCGTCACGAGCGTTTCAAGTGTTTCTTCCTCTTTGGTGTTTGCCTTTCAACTTGTTTTTAACTATTATTTTTTATGTAGTCAGATCTATCATTTTTATCCCCCTTAATGCATCCTCATCCCAAAGATTAAAAAAATAAAGAAATAAAAGTCATCCTTTCCCTAGGATTCTAAAAGTTTTCACTTAGCTTTTCTTCTAGTATCTTTACAGCTTTTTTACTTTGAAGTTGAAATTTGCACATGAGTGTGTGTCAGGCAGAAAGTGGGCGATCTGACTTTTTTTTTTTTAACAAATAACAAGTCGCTTGTCTCCATATACTGTTTATTGACTGAATCCATCTTTCTCCCGCCGTTCGAATTACCTTTCTGTGTTATCTGCTCAGTCCCCATCTGTACACGGTGTTCCTGGTCTCTCTCCTGTTGCCCGGCAGGCACTTCTTAGACTAATTCTTTGCCGGTTAGTGATTTTAAATTTTTAAAGCACTTCCACTGCTTGCCCTCCAGATGGACATTTGGGCTTTTTCCATCAATGGTTTTTTTCCGTCATGAAATCTTCCCAGTGACCTGGACAGAAAGATGAGGGGGCAGCTGTAATGGTTAAGCGTGCAGACTCCGCAATCGGACCACCTTGGCTTTGTATCCCAGCCACACGCTTCCCAGCTGGTGACTTTGGGCAACTGACTTCACCTCTCTGAGCCTCAACTCTCTCCTCTGTAAAATGGGGTAGCAGCTACCTCTGAGCGTGTCAGAAAAGCCCACTGAGCCTGGGCCCAGGGCGGCAGCTGAGCGCTTGCACTGTAGCAGGTCCGGGCTGAGGTGTGCTGTCAGGGAAAAACACGCTGAACTCTGAAGACGTAGGCCATGAAAAGATCAGGTAACACACCTTATTAGTAATTGTTTATATTGATCACATGGTGAAATGGTAGTATTTTAGACATTGAGTTAAATAAAATACATTATTAAGGTTAATAATATACTTCACTTATTTCTTTTTACTTTAACGTGGCTCCAGAAACTCTAAAATGGTAAATGTGGTTGCCTCGTGTTTCTGAGCGCTGGGTTGAGCTCATCTCCCAGCAGAGCAGGCGGTCCAGACATTCAGCCGCTCCTCCTTCCCTGCTACCATTATCATCTTTATTTCAGAATCTTCCCTCAGGATAGTCTGGGAGGGGATCTAGACGCAGAGGGAATGAATGAGTTCAGGGCCACTGAGACACTGCCACATTCTGTCACCTTGCAGAGATGGAACAGGCCACCGCGGGAGGAGTGAGCTCCCCGTCTCAGGAAGCATCCCACCTCGGCCTGGTAGAGGGGAGCCAAAGGGGCGTGATGAGGCAGGGCCGAGCTAGGTGACCTCTTTCCTCTTCTCCTTCCCCCACCTGCCCAGCCTGCTTGATGGTTTGCAGGAACAAGGCTTCCTGCCAAATTCAGCTTTAAATCTGCTGTAGTGGTTTCCTACAGGCCGTGCCTGGCCGCCAGGAGAACTTACAGCATATGAAAGGGTGGGGTTAATTCAGTCAAGGCTAGTAAGATCGTGGAGAGTAGGGTAATGTCCGCAAGGTGGGTGGGTTCATTTTACAGCATAAGCAAGCAGTGCTTGCCCGTGAACAGATTCAGTCTAACTCACGGCTGGGCAAACTGCAGCGTGTAGGCCAATCCGTCCGCCACGTCCCTTTGCAGATGAGGTCTTGTTGGAGTGCCCACCCACCCATCTGCGGCTGTGTTTGCCCTGCAACAGCAGAGTCGTTGTGACAAAGACCAAGTAGCCCACAGAGCCGAGAATATTTACCATCTGGTTCTTCGTGGGAAAAGGTTGCCGACCCCCGGATTAACATAGAAAATATTCCCAGAGATGTTTATGTTATAAACGTGTGGTCATCGGCTTCTGTTTGCCTTTATTCAGCCAGTGTTAAAAAAGGAACCCTAGTCGTAATCAAAGAGACCGAGAAAAGACCACTCAAGCTTGAGCGGGTCTGAGGCTCCCCCGTCTTATGCTGCTGAGGCCCCCAGACTGTAAATGGTCTCCAGCCCCATACTTTAAATTCTCAGAATCCGTACGTCGGCGTGGTTCTTCCCTCGTGAGGATTTCTGTATCTGCATTGAGCCCCGCACACCTCCGGCTTCTCCCGAGGTCAGGTTTACTCTCTGCGTGTCCACAGTGACCCCGTCCTCTCTCGCCCCCAGTCCCTGGTACGGGAGCCTCTTTCCCGACGCCGGCAGCTGCTCCGGGAGAATTTCGTGGAGACGGAGGGCGAGTTTGTCTTCGCCACGTCTCTGGACACCCAGGACACGGACCAGATCGCCGAGTTCTTGGAGCAGTCGGTGAAAGGTGAGGGTGTCTGCTTTCTCTCCGCCAAGGTCTGGCTCCCCGCGGTCTGCACTCACCCCGGCCACACCCCGGGCGGTTTGACGGGAATTCTGTGTCTCCTTCAGACTCCTGCGAGGGGCTGATGGTGAAAACCCTGGACGTCGACGCCACCTATGAGATCGCCAAGAGGTCGCACAACTGGCTCAAGGTGACTCCTGCTCCCCAACCCAGCCGTCCTGCTGAGCTCTGGGGCGGGAAGTCTATCCTCAGTGGGCGGCCGATTTCCTGTCTCCTCACTTCACCCTGAGTGAGCTCAGGAGCCCTTTTCTCAGTTCCTCATGCCTCCCATTGCAGCCAGACTCAGGTCTTCTCCCGTCCACAGTCCTTGTCAGTGAATTCAAGGATTAGGCCCGGCTCAGCGCCCCGAATGCAGTGGTGAGAAAGCCAGATGAGATTTCTGTTCTCCCTGAGCTTGGCTTCCACATCGGGCGAGGCTGACGGGAGGGGAGTCAGCCAGGACATGAACAAGAGAAAGTCTGTGAAGAAAGCAAGTCAACTCAGGGCCCGTGAGGTCCTGGCAGTACTCTGGGTGATGGGGAAACGCCTCTCCAGAGGCGATGTTTGGGTGGAGACACAGACAACAGAAAGAGGTCGGCCACCTGAAGATGGGGGCAGAGCATCTAGGCAGGGGAGTAGCAAGTGCAAAGGCCCTGAGGTAAGAACAAGCTCGGTGTGTGCAGGGAGTGAGGCGATCGAGTGTGCAGTGAGGTCGGGGTGGAGAGCAGGTCCCAGTCACACAGCGCACTGGGGGCCATGGTGAAGTAAACTGGATTTTCCTCTCAGGCTTTCAGGAAGCCAGTGGAGGTTTTAGGCAGAAAGTCACATGGTCTGGTTGTCATTTCGCACAGGTCCTCTGGCTGCTCTGTGGGTGGTGGACGGGTGTGGGGGGGTGCTGGGCAGAACCGGAAACAAATGGGCAGGAGGCTGTCTGGTAAGAGATCCAGAGGCTTGAGTGGAGAGAGAGCAGCGAGGAGGCGGCATGAGGAAGGAGGCGGGAGATGGTCTGGAGGGGAGCTGGCCGGCCTGCTGACGGGGTTTCCCTGTGCATCACTGGTTGTCTGTGGTCTGTCTCCCCTCCTAGACTGTAAGCAGCTGCGAGGGTGCCAACCTTTCCTGTGCTGGGAGATACTCACTGTTGTATCCCCAAGGCTCGGCTCCTGCCTGGCACACAGTCGGCACTTAATTAATGTTTCTGGAGTTAGATAAATGTTCTCTGCCTGAAGGAGTGCGTGCAACGTTCTTCTGTACTGAGGGAAAGGGGGAATCCAGGTGACCCCCGAGTTTCCCCATCTGACCCGTCCCCTCAGGCCCACCTGTTCTTCCCATTTTGGTCGCCTCTTTCCCACTCACTTGTTGAGCCTAGAAGCCCAGTCCATGTCCAGTCTCCTCCCAGTGGCCGTCCTCGGTCTTCTTTATGGGGTTCTGCTCAGGGTCACCCAGTCCCTCTTCACCCCACTGATTGGTGACCCCAGTAGTGAGGTCCTCACCTCGGCGTCCCCCGCATCTCCTGCCTTCCCTCCTCCCAGCTGAAGAAGGACTACCTCGACGGCGTGGGTGACACCCTGGACCTCGTGGTGATCGGCGCCTACCTGGGCCGGGGGAAGCGGGCCGGCCGCTACGGGGGCTTCCTGCTGGCCTGCTACGACGAGGAGAGTGAGGAGCTACAGGCCATCTGCAAGGTGCTGGGAGCTGGGGGTGACCGCAGAAGCAGGTGGGAAGTAGATCTGACTCAACCCGGGGAGGGCCTGCACCAAAAGGCTCCCACATCCTTCATGCAAAGGATTATTTTTTTTTTTTCAGTTTTTGTTTACTTTTTCTGATCCTGTAAGTAACTCGTGCTTCACATAGAGAAATGAAGGTTAGATTAGGAAGCTGTGTCAGTTAGGAATTGAGTTCAGCTGCAGATAATGTTAGGTTAAGTGAGAAAAGGATTTATTTTTATCTCACATAATGGGAGGTCTGGAGCATGGCAGACAGCTCTCCGATGTCGTTAGGGACCCAGGGTCCTCTTGCCCCACAGTGGTTTTTGTCATGTGCTTCTGGCTTCATGTTCTTAGTGTGGCTGCAGGAGCTCCAGCCATCATGATCATGCACGCTCCAAGCAGCAGAAGGAGGAAGGCCAGTGGGCCACCTGAGACAGCCTCAGCCAGTGAACAACTTCTGCTTAAGTTGCATTGGTCAGAACTTTGCTCTATGGCCCACCCCCATCTACAAGGGAGCTTGGGAAGTGCAGTGGTTTTTGTTTTTGTTTTTAGCTATGCCCATTGTTGATCCAACAAATTTGGGGCGTGTGCCACAGAAACAGAATAAAATATTACACAAAATTCTACTGCCCAGAGGCAAACACTAGTAACGTTTGAGGGAATGTTTTATTTTTATTTTTACAAAGTTGTGATTCTTCTATATGAGTAATTTTCTGTGTTTTACCCTATAAATACTGTATTTTAAATGCTGTCAGATGGATTTAAGTAATACAGTGGTAAGAAATGTCAGAGTGTTTTCACTTGCCACTCGGGACTTTTGTAAACATGACTTGAATGGGTGCAGAGAAGTTCTCACATAGACATGCCCCAATTTTCCGAACAAGCTCCCCGTAGTCAGGAGGCTACGTTGTTGTCAGCTGTGTTCTTATGACTAAGTCGGCACTGCACAGACACTAACCCACGTAATCCAGGATAGAAGTGATTTTACAGTTCACACATATCTCTGGGCTCCAGTCTGTGGCCCTTTTACGTTATTTATTTAGGGTAGATTTTTAAAAGAGCTATTGCCAGGACAAAAGGCGAGAAAAATTTTAAGCCTCTCAATACAAAAAGAGCATTCCGGTTGGAATTTTGTATCAAGAGTTTGCGGATGCCCATCTTGTGACGTGTTGGCAGGTGAGGAGTGTTTTTTAGCCTTGACTTTTTGGTGGGTGGAAGAAAACTCTTGGGTTGAGATTGGAGATGATGCCAGTTGTGGGGCAGGTAGGATGTGGGGGAGCCCTAGGGAGCGACTTCCTGGACCAGGGAGACACGGAGCAGAAGGGCCAGGGGAGCACAGCGGGGAGAGTTGTTCCCCATCCTGGTCGTCGGCTAGATGCTCGCTGGCTGGACGCTCCTGCACTGGCTGGATGCTCAGCACTCCCTGGCCCTGCCTCTGCGGCTAGTGAGGCCGCAGGAGGGTGCTGGCCGCCGGTGTATACAGACTGAGGTCCTTAGGAGCAGGGAGGAGGTGCCGAGCTGCTGACCTCCCTTGTTCTCCTGCAGCTTGGAACTGGCTTCAGCGACGAGGAGCTGGAGGAGCACCACCAGAGCCTGCAGGTGAGCGGTGGCCGCCCGGCCGCGCCTCGGCCCCTCTGCCCCTAACAGCACACTCTGTGTGCGCAGCTGTCAGCCACCGCCGTCCTGGGGCTCAGGGTGCTGACGGGACGGCAGCAGGCAGAGAGCTGGCTTTGGAGCCCAGCACATCCAGGTTCAAGTCCCAGCTCTGCCGGCCGCTAGCCGGTGACACTGGTTGGGGAGCCTGATCTCCCCGAGCTCAGGGCCTTGCTGCACGGGGCTTGGGGGAGTCACAGGGCAGGGCACTATTGCAGGGTTCCCTGAGTTCATCCCTGGTGCTAGGTGAGCCCCCAGTGGTTGGGAGTGTCTGTCGTCACGGTCACAGGGGTTTTGGGATCTATCTTTCCTGTGTGTTGGTGTCTCTGGGTCTCGTCTCCACCTCTGTCCGTTCTTCAGTTCTCTCTCTCCAGGTCTCTGTCTCCACCTCTCTCTCGGTCTCTCTCTGTCTCTCTACCTCTTTTTATCTCTAATTTCTTGTCTCAGCTCTCAGGGTCTCTATCTTGCATTTCTTCCCTCCTCCCATTTTCCCTCAACCCCCCCCCAGCTTTTTACTTTAAGGAGTGTCTGTGTCTGTCTATCTCCTCCCCCCATTCCCCCCTCTCCTCCCCCCCTAGCCCCCTAACCCCCAGCTTTGACTTTGAGACCCAAGACCTCTCTTCCTCATGCCCGCCACTCCCTGCAGGCCCTGGTGCTGCCCACCCCGCGCTCCTACGTCCGGGCGGACGGAGCCGTGGCCCCCGACCACTGGCTGGACCCCAGCACCGTGTGGGAGGTGAAGTGTGCCGACCTGTCCCTCTCCCCCATCTACCCCGCGGCCCGCGGCATGGTGAGTAACTGGAGGACTGCGAGTCCCGGGTGGGAGGAGGGACCGGGGTGGACCCTCCAAAGGAATTCCAGATGGGAGAGTGGGGTGCAGAGCGGGAGGCATCTTGGAGCCCACGTCTGCTCTTCCTGGCTAATGGTTAGGAAAACTTCAGCTTGCGTTTCATTTGGGTGTCAGATAATGGGGCTAAGAGTCTCATTTTTTTTTTTTTTTTAAAGAAATTCCCCGGGAGTAGGAAGAACACAGTGAAATTGCTCCCTTTACTATCATAATTCACATTAAGCTCTTAAGCAGTTTTTGGAAACAGTTCTTGTGAGTAGAAGCTTAGGGCACTTCTGGCTGGGCTTTTGCAAGTTCTGCAGTTTCTTTCTCAACTGTAATTGGTTTTCATGCTACCACGGTGTACAATTCCTTGGCTACCTTCCCTCACTAGTGTTCTGTGAAGGGATCCATGTGCCCGGGGAAGACACTGCCTGACACCAGCCCTGGGACAGCTCTCAGCCTCCTCCTTCAGCAGAACAGCCAGTCTCCCATTAAAAATGTCCCTTTCTTTGAGATTTCTGTTGACCCTTCCAGATCTAGCTACCATGCACTTTTCTGACTAGAAGAGGACTTCCATTTCAAGAAGAAACTCATGTATATTTTTTTTTTTCTGAGAAAGATTCACCTTGAGCTAATATCTGTTGCCAATCTTCCTCTCTTTTGTGTCTTCCACAAAGCCCCAGCACATAGTTGTATATCCTAGTTGTAAGTCCTTCTAGTTCTTCTCTGTGAGCTGCCACCACAGCATGGCTACTGACAGATGAGTGGTGTGGCTCTGCACCCGGGAAACGAACCCCGGGCCACCAAAGCAGAGAGCGCTGAGCTTTAACCGCGAGGCCGTCAGGGCTGGCTCATGGAACTCATATTTTTGATCTGATTTTTTTTTAATTTCTCACTCATGCTCCACATTACAAAGTCAGGGTCCCCCGGTGACAGGTGATAGGAGCAGCTTTTACCGAGCAGCTGTGTCAAGTGGGCATTGTGCGTGTCACTCATAAACACTCGTTTCATCCTCACAAGACCCTGAGCATCCCCATTTTACAGATGAGGAAATAGAGCCCCAGAGCTTAGGTATCTGGCCCAGGGTCACACGGTGACTGGGAGTTGGGAGCTGGGATTTGGACCCCGCAGTCTGGTTCTAGAATCCGTGCCCTGACTGTGTGCTCTTCTGACTCTCGGCCCTAATAATAATAATGACAACAGGAATAACAGCTACGGCAGCCGGCATTTCTTAAGCGCTTATTTTGCACCAGGTACGGGCCCGAGCACTTTCTTATCTTATTTAATCTGACAACAAACCATTGCTTAGCCCCATTGTATGGATCAGGAAACTGAGGCCAGAGGTGCAGGAGGGGGGATAGGCTTTGGAGAGGGAATTGCTGCAACTTGCAGACCTCAGGCTAGACCACAAGACAGTTTCCATCGTCCCCCTGCCTCCCCCAGCTGGACGGTGTGAAGGGGATCTCCCTTCGCTTCCCTCGGTTTATTCGCGTCCGGGAAGACAAGAAGCCAGAGGAGGCCACCACCAGCGCCCAGGTGAGGCCCTGGCAAGAGGGCTGGGACACACGGTGGGGGCTTGCCTGGCCGGACCCGCTTCTTGGAGGGTTGGACCTGGCCTGGAAGGGCATGGGAGGGAGTGAGGCAGCCCCGGGCCCCTGACCTCCCCGCCTCTCACCCTGTCTGTTCAGGTGGCCCGTCTGTACTGGAAGCAAAGTCAGATTCAGAACCAGCAAGGCACAGACTTAGACTCCGACCTGGAGGATTTCTACTAGGCTCCGCCCTGCTGGGGCCCGGGGCCGGGGCGGCGGTGGAGGGGACCCAGCGTACTGCCTCTTGTTAAGCAAATCTGGTGTTGCTGTCTGGGCAGGTTTGCAAGTCAAGGGTGTGTGTGTGTGTGTGTGTGTGAGTGAGTGAGGAGGTGGTTTAGGCTGGGGTCTGGGGTTCATACTTATCAAGTTCAAATAAAATGTTTAGGGCAAAATAATATTTGATTAGGTGCTAAATATTGTGTATCTGGGAATCTCCATGTCTGTCTGGCTCTGTGTGGAGCCCCATGGTTCCCTTAGGTGTGGACCTGAGTCTCCCTGAGGAAAGCCAGGCCAAGAACACACTCTTCCTCTCCACGCCCCTGCAGGGCCCCTGTGAACACACCGCCTGCAAGCATCCATGTCCCCATGTCCCTCTGCCAGGGCTGGGCAGGGATGTCCTCAGTCACCAATGACCCTCATGACAACCCCGCTATCCCCATTTAACAGATGAGGACACTGAGGCACAAGGATGTGAGTTAACTTCCCCTAGGTCCCCTCTCGAGGAAACCTTATTCCCAGGGGCAGGGAAGTGACGTGGTAAGGTCTGGAGTGAAAAGATCATGCTGATGGCTGGAGTATGCGCACACTGAAGAGATGAGCCTGGGGTTGGGGGGCAGCGGAGACCACCTTGCCCCTGGTGAAATCCTGTTCTTCTAAAAACTGTTGAAACCCATCAAGAAGAGATGGTGCCCAGAGCTGGGCTCTGGGAAAAGTATGCAGCAGGAGAGGTTGCAGGAGCAATAATTCATAATTACACAGGAGTCGAAATGCATGATTTCGGTTTGTCACATTACTGATGATTGTCATTTTTATCGTTTGATTAAGGTAGTGTCTGCCAGGTTTCACTACCATCAAGTGACTTTCCTTTGAAATTAATATTTTGTAAGGAGATACTTTGAGCTATGTAAATATTACCAAACTTTCCACTTATCTTTTGACTTATGTCTGTATGGACTCCTGGTTTCCTATGTTCTCCTATATAATTTGTTATTATTTGTTTTGATTTTCAAGTTGCCCCTGCTATGGCGTGAGGAGCTTCTTCACGCTGATCCCTGTTCTTCTGACCTGTCCCCATAACTCTTTGAGCACAGTCTTGCTTTACCGCACAAGATGGGTTAGGCCCCTCTTCTACTTGTCCTGCTCCAGACGTGCATTCAGCCCTTTCTCCTAGGAGTCTTCGTTCCTTTTAGTGGAGAGTGGTATTTAGAAGCCAAGATCTGGATGCTAGAGGTGCTCACTAATATCAGGGCATCACTGCTTCTGGGTCGTCTTCGAGAGCTGGAGAATATATGCTCATGTCCCCAGACGGTGACGTGTTTATTTGTATATCCCTCTCTGTACAGCAAAACCCACGAGCACATACCGCTGCCTCCAGTTCCAACCCAACACCACAGGACTCATTCTACTTGCCGCTTGTGTATTAGTAACTCCCTTTTCCAACAACGTGAGAAACCTGATTCCCATTACCCTTAATATAATCCCCGTGTGTAACCAGTCTCGCTTCTCCATTGCCATCCCAGCCCTGTGGGGACGCCTTTCTCGCCTTGATCTGGTGTTGACATCTGCACCAGGCTCTCTCCATGAGTGCACATGCTCAGCACAAACCCCCACTCTAGGCGATGCAATTCCTGTGCGTAGATACACCCACTCCACCTGGCTCATGCTCCAACCTTCCACACCAGGCTGCTCTGTCACGAGTTCATCCTCACCTTCCCAGGCCTCAGCGCTCTGGGCCGTGCTGCCCCTCTGTGGGGATTCCCCCTCACTCCACCACCCTATTTGAACTCTGGCTCCCCACACTGATGGCCCCCAGTCCCCTCCCATCCAGTGCAGACACCCACATTGTCTCCCTGGGCTCTGACACCATCATGACTTTTCACCCTCCCTGACCCCCACACCAGTGTGGACGCCCACCTTGCTCCTCGCCCCTGAGTTACTCAGGAAGAAAGGAACAGATGAGCAGAGGAAAAGCAAACCCCACCCTCTTCATCACTGTGTGCACCTACTTCCTGAAGTTAGCTTGTCGTGCAATTCTTGCATCTTGCTCATTGGCACACATTCCTGACCTACTGGAAAGCTCCTTGAGGCCAGGGGCCATGCCCTCTCCATCGTCACGTGCCCAAGGGCCAGCAGAGGCCAGGCTTAGAGTGAGCGCTCAACACGCTTGTTGGAACATTGAATGAACGGATGCCCTCTGCTCTAATCCTCATTTTGGAGACTATCTTTCCAATTTTATTCTGGGGATAAAAGGTCAGAGCCTGGGACTGGCTCCCCCTCCCGTCTCCCTGGAGCCAGATGGGGAGGCAGGAACAGATCTGATCCCTCCCAACCCAAGTAGAGATTTCTGACCCAGCTGTCACAGCTCTAAGACACAGGGACCGAGGGTGAGGCCAAGAGAGGCAGGAAGAGTTGGCAAAGGCACGATAGAGAAGATAAGGAGGCTGAGGCACCGAGCAGGACGGGAAGGAGGGGGAGCCGTCTTGAGGTCTGTGCCCGGTGAGCCCTGCCCTGCCCCCTCCATGCAGCTTCCCATGGGCCCCGCCTGCATCTTCTTGAGAAAAGGCATCGCTGAGAAACACCGGGTGAGGTGGGGGACACTGGGGAGGGACAGCGGGCGGGGCAAAGGGAGCTGGGACGTGGGGAAAAGAGGGGGCATGCTGGGTGCAATGGACCGAGGAGGGTGGGGGGAGGATGAACTGAGAGGGCAGAAGAATTCCAGAGAGCGGGCGGGGACATGTGGGTCACTGAAATGGCTGAGGGTGGAATCAGACATCAGGGGCAAAAGCGGGGAGATTAAGGAGGAGAAAATAAAAGGGGACCAGGGATGACGTCATTATTGATGGCATCATCGTTCTTTTCTATGGACACCCGTAGTGATGACGAGGATGATGAGGATGGTGACAATAGCTGCCACTTACTAAGTCATTGCTGTGTGCTCAGCCTTGTGCAAAGGGCTTTGCTTTCCTGATGTCATTTAATCCTCAGAACGACTTGTGAGGTCGGAAATACTTTCATGTCCATTTTACAGATGAGGAAACTGAGGCTCTGAGTCATGAAGTCCTTTGCTGTAAGCTTATACAATTAGTAAGAGGCAGGGCAGGTCTGTTATATTGCAATGAAATGCTTTTAATTGTTAGGGTTTAAGATGACCAAAAAAAAAAAAAGAGAGAATTTGGGGAGAAAGTGAATATAAGAAAGAGAAGCTGGGGGAAAGGCTCCAAGGATAAAGAGAGATAAAGGGGTAAAAGAGACTGGCAGTTGGTGGAATTGCCCAGGTGGTGTGCCAGGTGTCCCAGCCTGACCCTTCAGGTGTGTCCAGAAGTGGGTGGCGACAGCAATGACTGGAAGTTCTTAGAGGTTTTGGGAATTGGCCATGTGGGCAGCGATCATCTGCCTGGACGCCACTGAGCACTGGTCCCACGTGAAGGGATTCTACCCTTGGGAGAAAGGGTGGAGGCGAGTGGAGAAAGAATCAATGGAGTGCGGTGGGAAAAATTCTGACCTGGGAGTCAGGAGCCCTGAATTCATATCCCGGTGCTGCACCTGACTTGCTGCACGACCTCGAGGGGGTGATTTAATGTCTGCCTTGGGAGGAGATCTGCCACTTAAGAGCTGTGTGACCCCAGGCAGATTCCTTAACCTCTCTGTCCCTCAGCATCCTCTTAAATAACATGGGAGTGATATTTGGCTCTACCTCATGGAACGGTTTTGAGGTTGCAATGAAATGATTGTGGAAGCTGCCTGGCACAGAGTCAGCACTCTGAACACGTTAGCTGGGCGTCTGAGTCTCGCTTTCTTCCTCTGGAGAGGGAGGGGATTGGCTTCCATGGCCTCTAAGATCCCTTTTGGCACAATGGGATGGATGTCTATTTGGGAAAGGCAGAAGGAGAGACATCATGATTCAAGGATGGGAGAGAGGAAGTGAGAAGGAGTGGGGAAGAGGGCGGGAAGAACATAGCCATGGAGTGGGCATCAGGGGACGGGAGGAGGAAGATGAGAGGGGTAGAGAGGAGCAAGACTGGGAAGAGAAATAGGGAAAGGTGAGGAGTAGCTTGGGAGAGTGAGGGGACATGTCTGAAGAAGTGGATGATGGATCCCTGACCCTCCCTCCAAATTCCCTCTCCCCTGCATTCCTTTCCAGGAAAGACCCCTGGGACAAGACGAGATTGAAGGTAACACCCCTCCCTCAAATGCCCGCACATTGCCGTTCACCCCACTTCCCTGCTTTCTGTCTCTTTGTGCCTTTCAGTGTAAATCCCTTCGCGTGAAAAATTTACGTCCCTCTCTCTTTCCACTCAACTGTAATTTTGTGAACTCTTTCTCATGGCAGTTGAAATGCCTCCCCAAGTATTTAGAAGGTACACCCATCCCCAAGTGTCTCAGAGACCCAGGAGTGACACATGAGTTTTAAGATGAGTCAAAAATTGTCGTTTATTCTTTTCGTACTTTTGAAGTTTCCCATAACTTCACCAACAAATTTGAAGGACTTCAGGGCTATCGTTTAGCAGTCTCGGGCATCATTCCTCTCGCTAACACATTTCATACATCACTGCTTTTTGAAATTTTGGTTTTTTAAAATGTATTCTTCTTTGAAGAGTCTCTGGTTGGTGCCTCATTGGTGGTTTCGAGGGATGCCGCTCTTCCCCACTGACTGTTTCAAGTTTCCCCAAAGGTCTTTTTTCTGAACTTTCAGAGCTCCGGGAAGCATTTCTTGAGTTCGACAAGGATCGAGACGGGTTCATCTCTTGTAAGGATTTGGGGAATCTCATGAGGACGATGGGTTACATGCCCACGGAGATGGAACTGACTGAGCTGGGCCAGCAAATCCGCATGAACTGTGAGGGCTGGGGGCGGGAGGAATGACTGGGTTGAGGGGACAGCTGAGGGTGGAATGGGGAAGGATATGGAGGCTGAGAATAGAGTTGGAGATAGGGAGGAGGGCAAGAGGGGGTAGAAGTCTGGAAGGAAACAGTTCAGACTGTACTTAGGAGTCACATTTGA